CTCGTCCCGTGGGCCCCTAGTCCTGAAGGCACAGTTCCCTTATCGCAGTTACTCAAGCAACAGCAATCTCTCTCTCGTCCCGTGGGCCCCTAGTCCTGAAGGCACAGTTCCCTTATCGCAGTTACTCAAGCAACAGCAATCTCTCTCTCGTCCCGTGGGCCCCTAGTCCTGAAGGCACAGTTCCCTTATCGCAGTTACTCAAGCAACAGCAATCTCTCTCTCGTCCCGTGGGCCCCTAGTCCTGAAGGCACAGTTCCCTTATCGCAGTTACTCAAGCAACAGCAATCTCTCTCTCTCTTCCCGTGGGCCCCTAGTCCTGAAGGCACAGTTCCCTTATCGCAGTTTCTCAAGCAACAGCAATCTCTCTCTCGTCCCGTGGGCCCCTAGTCCTGAAGGCACAGTTCCCTTATCGCAGTTACTCAAGCAACAGCAATCTCTCTCTCGTCCCGTGGGCCCCTAGTCCTGAAGGCACAGTTCCCTTATCGCAGTTACTCAAGCAACAGCAATCTCTCTCTCGTCCCGTGGGCCCCTAGTCCTGAAGGCACAGTTCCCTTATCGCAGTTACTCAAGCAACAGCAATCTCTCTCTCGTCCCGTGGGCCCCTAGTCCTGAAGGCACAGTTCCCTTATCGCAGTTACTCAAGCAACAGCAATCTCTCTCTCGTCCCGTGGGCCCCTAGTCCTGAAGGCACAGTTCCCTTATCGCAGTTACTCAAGCAACAGCAATCTCTCTCTCGTCCCGTGGGCCCCTAGTCCTGAAGGCACAGTTCCCTTATCGCAGTTACTCAAGCAACAGCAATCTCTCTCTCGTCCCGTGGGCCCCTAGTCCTGAAGGCACAGTTCCCTTATCGCAGTTACTCAAGCAACAGCAATCTCTCTCTCGTCCCGTGGGCCCCTAGTCCTGAAGGCACAGTTCCCTTATCGCAGTTACTCAAGCAACAGCAATCTCTCTCTCGTCCCGTGGGCCCCTAGTCCTGAAGGCACAGTTCCCTTATCGCAGTTACTCAAGCAACAGCAATCTCTCTCTCGTCCCGTGGGCCCCTAGTCCTGAAGGCACAGTTCCCTTATCGCAGTTACTCAAGCAACAGCAATCTCTCTCTCGTCCCGTGGGCCCCTAGTCCTGAAGGCACAGTTCCCTTATCGCAGTTACTCAAGCAACAGCAATCTCTCTCTCGTCCCGTGGGCCCCTAGTCCTGAAGGCACAGTTCCCTTATCGCAGTTACTCAAGCAACAGCAATCTCTCTCTCGTCCCGTGGGCCCCTAGTCCTGAAGGCACAGTTCCCTTATCGCAGTTTCTCAAGCAACAGCAATCTCTCTCTCGTCCCGTGGGCCCCTAGTCCTGAAGGCACAGTTCCCTTATCGCAGTTACTCAAGCAACAGCAATCTCTCTCTCGTCCCGTGGGCCCCTAGTCCTGAAGGCACAGTTCCCTTATCGCAGTTACTCAAGCAACAGCAATCTCTCTCTCGTCCCGTGGGCCCCTAGTCCTGAAGGCACAGTTCCCTTATCGCAGTTACTCAAGCAACAGCAATCTCTCTCTCGTCCCGTGGGCCCCTAGTCCTGAAGGCACAGTTCCCTTATCGCAGTTACTCAAGCAACAGCAATCTCTCTCTCGTCCCGTGGGCCCCTAGTCCTGAAGGCACAGTTCCCTTATCGCAGTTACTCAAGCAACAGCAATCTCTCTCTCGTCCCGTGGGCCCCTAGTCCTGAAGGCACAGTTCCCTTATCGCAGTTACTCAAGCAACAGCAATCTCTCTCTCGTCCCGTGGGCCCCTAGTCCTGAAGGCACAGTTCCCTTATCGCAGTTACTCAAGCAACAGCAATCTCTCTCTCGTCCCGTGGGCCCCTAGTCCTGAAGGCACAGTTCCCTTATCGCAGTTACTCAAGCAACAGCAATCTCTCTCTCGTCCCGTGGGCCCCTAGTCCTGAAGGCACAGTTCCCTTATCGCAGTTACTCAAGCAACAGCAATCTCTCTCTCGTCCCGTGGGCCCCTAGTCCTGAAGGCACAGTTCCCTTATCGCAGTTACTCAAGCAACAGCAATCTCTCTCTCGTCCCGTGGGCCCCTAGTCCTGAAGGCACAGTTCCCTTATCGCAGTTACTCAAGCAACAGCAATCTCTCTCTCGTCCCGTGGGCCCCTAGTCCTGAAGGCACAGTTCCCTTATCGCAGTTACTCAAGCAACAGCAATCTCTCTCTCGTCCCGTGGGCCCCTAGTCCTGAAGGCACAGTTCACTCCTTGGACTGCGCGCCTCCGCCTAGGGGTCGTTTTGAGTCGACTCAAAAATAGCCTCATCACACACGGATTTTATGTTGAGAGAATTTTTGTTGCTTGGACGATTGGGTGTAGCTTGTTAAAGCTTTTGGTGCGCGCGCGACTACCGAAGTTGCTGCATGGCGAAAGGTTGGACTCTGCTCCCAATGATGACACCCTCGAGGGTTGAAGACGTGGCTCTTGGTGTTCACCAGAGCTACCTGGATTGGTCCCGAACTTTTTGGAACGGGCCAGGGTGTAGATAACCTTGAGTTTTGTTTTACTGGAGGCGTTATCTTTTCTTTTAAGGCTTCTACTCCACTCTGTTTTTCATTCTCGTAGGCACTGATGAAGGCCTGGTAGGGGATGCCCTCCAGCCGAAACATGTTTGTCTTGTTTTAATTTCTGTTAACGAGAAGAGTTCCGGTTTCACAGACTCTCGGCTATTAGCTAGTGTTAAGAGTTTCACTGTTTTTTCTTACTTGCTTAAGCCTAAACCTAAGCATTGCTGCTCACTGGAAGAATGTCAGAGGATCTGCTAACACTTACGCTTTCTCCAGTAGACGGCGGTGCAGGTGAAGGCAGTTCTGCAATTATTGTGCGTGAGGCAGTTGTACCGGCAAAGACTTGCGCGAATTATCGCAGCCACAAGCGACTACGCGTTCTTGACGGTGCGAAACAATCTGCTCCAACTCACGCAACTACGAAGCAAGACAAGCAAGCGGAATCTCCTCCCGACATGGAAGTTGAGAACGAGCCGATCGCTGCAGCAGCTGGTTGCAGCAATCCTACGGCCTCATCTGAGCAGTCTGTTACGATTCCTGAGCCTTTTAAAGGCTGGACTGCGAAGGCCGTCAAGGAATTTCGGACCGATTTCAAAAACTACCTGAAGGCGAAGTCCAAGCTTAAGAAGATGAAGACTCTCGACGGCCAAGGCGTGATACTCCACAGCATCCGCACCAAGGTGGTCGAGTTTCAGACGAAGTACTCGAGCATTCGGGAGAAGTCGGCGGCTTCTGTGGCTGCTATTCATCTTGAGAACCAGAAACGCATACAAGCGGACTTCATCAAGTCGAAGGAAATGGAGGTTGAGGAGATTCTGGCGGCTTCCGATTCACACCTCACTTCTCTGGCGGCCAGGCTTGAAGACCACATCAAGAGCTTATCGTCCGTACCTGAATTGGCGATTTCCGAAGTCGCTAAAGAAAAGTTCAGGAAGATCAAGGTGCAGTGCATCAAGAAAGCTCGGTCCGAAATCGCCACCGCCAAGGACGACATCAAAGTCCAGGAGTTGCTGAGGCAGAAGTCCCGCGAAGCCGAGGAATTGAAGAAATCTGCTGCCGCTGAGGAGATGACTGGCATGGAAACAGGGCCGACGATCGACGAGATTGTTCGTCAGCAGGTGCAGAAGGCGAAGGCTGAAATCCGCAAGGAAGTTAAGGCGGAGTTCGAAGCTACCCTATCGGCAAAGCTGAAAGCGTTCTCGTTAGTCAAGCAGGATGCATCGACGCCCCCCGCAGCTGCTGATTCGAAGCCGAAGAAGGCGAAGAAGAAGCGTGGCGGCAAGAACAAGAAGAAAGCCAACGCTCCCGCGGACAGCAAGGAGAAGGGCCCTGAGACTACACCGTCGACCTCGAAAAAGGCCTGGGTTCCAAAAAACGGCGGAGGCGGCCCCGCAAAAGGGCCGTCAAAGAAGAAGTAACAGCACATGACCTCGCGCTCCGCTGGTTTGGCCGCTTGACTTTACGGCAGGCGCAGTCTCGCGTGCGGAACCTCGGAGTGCACAACCTGAGTGCCAAGACCTTAACGTCGGACGAGCGTAAGGCACTAGGTTTGGGTTTGAAGTTTGTTCCTACTCCCGCCTGGAATCCTTCTGTCGCTACGGCCCTCGATCAGCTGCATCGACAGATCTCTCTTCATTTTTTCTTCAAGGAGAAAGGGAATCCAACTGCAGCTTCACGGTTTCGGGTGCGCAACCCGAGTTGGAGACCCGATCGGGATGAAGTCCCGGAGTCGGTTTTCAGAGAGGCGCACGAAGACCTCTCGTTCCTGATGAAAGCAGCGAAGCCGTTACGTGGATCGAACCTTTCACGAGGTGTACGTACAGCTTTGCGCTCCCTCGCGACAGACCGCAGCATCGTCATCAAGCCCGCGGATAAGAACCTGGATCTCACCATTATGGATCGGTCACACTACATCAACCTCTGCATGGAACATCTCTCGGATGACGCGGTGTATAGATCAGTCCAACACGATCCGACACCTAGTGTTCTGCATGGTGCCCTGAGGAGAATTCCACTCCCCTCAAGTCCAGCTCCGTCAGCCAGATGCGGAACTTGGCCATTCCACACTTCTTCTCACCAACTGCTACTCACCAACTGCTACTCACCAACTGCTTCTCACCAACTGCTTCTCACCAACTGCTTCGCACCAACTGCTTCTCACCAACTGCTTCTCACCAACTGCTTCTCACCAACTGCTTCTCACCAACTGCTTCTCACCAACTGCTTCTCACCAACCGCTTCTCACCAACTGCTTCTCACCACTGTAATGTGCCTCCACGCGCCTTCACACCTTTCCCAACCCTCCAGTGTACCCTGCAAACCAGCCCCAACACCCAATTCCTCTCATCTCACCAGCTGCGGCTCTCCACTGTAGTGAGCCTCCACGCTTCTCCCTGTTTCTCTGCTAGTATGTCACACAGTCCTTCACCTCGTACTTACTCACACCCCGCTCTTCCTCTCAACTCACCAGCTGCGGCTCTCCACTGTAATGAGCCTCGACGCCTATGCCTGTGACTGGCGCCCCAGTTGCGTTGAGATTCCACACCTTCTGCTCTCGGGTACAAAGGAAGGGAGGTAGAGGACAGAGAGGGAAAACGGGGAGAGTTGCTTGAACATCCACGAATACACGCCCTCTCCCACTCACAGCACACGCCCTCTCCCACTCACAGCACACGCCCTTCCCCATTCACAGCACACGCCCTTCCCCATTCACAGCACACGCCCTTCCCCATTCACAGCACACGCCCTTCCCCATTCACAGAACACGCCCTTCCCCATTCACAGAACACGCCCTTCCCCACTCATCGCACCACGCCAAATCGCCTCTCACTTCAGCATAAACCTCTGGGTTGGCCCCTCTGTCGCACTGCTCAAACGTGTCATTCAAAAACAAAATTGCCTCTCACCTCGAGGCACACCTCTGGGTTGGCCCCTCAGTCGCACTGCTCCACTCTGTTGTAATGTTTAAAAAAACAGCTCAAGTCCAGCCTCATTCTCTTCCCATTCCACTTGCCCACATCCTCCCTCCCTCTCACCTCGAGGTACACCTCTGGGTTGGCCCCTCGATCGCACTGCTCCGCCGTGTTATAATCAGTAAAAAAAACAGCTGCACGTTGGGATTGAGAGCCACAGTCACAGCAGTCACACCACACAGCCTTTCCCACTCACCGCACTAGATTGCCTCTCACCTCGAGGTACACCTCTGGGTTGGCCCCTCGGTCACACTGCTCCACCGTGTTATAATCATTCAGAAACAGCCGCACATTCGGATCAATCGCCCGCGCGGCCTTGAACATCCACGAGTGAATGTCCTCCCCCAGGCGCTGCCCGTAGTAGTTGCCATGCAGAGGCTCGTTGATGACATCCCAGTGCTGCACCTTGCCTTGATAGCGGGTGACCGCACTGGCCATGCGTCGTTGCATGGCTGCCCATAGAGCAGTGTCGTTTAGATTCTGGGGATTAGGGGAAAACGGATGGAGTAATGGGGAGGAGGAGAGGGAGGGGGAAAGGGGGAGGAGGAAAGGGAGGGAGAATGAGGAAAGGGGAAGGGGGAGAGAGGGCGAGGAGATCAAAAGTCCACGAGTGAATGTCCTCCCCCAACCGCTGTCCGTAGTAGTTGCCATGCAGAGGCTCGTTGATGACATCCCAGTGCTGCACCTTGCCCTGATAGCGGGTCACTGCACTGGTCATGCGCCTTTGCAGCGCCGCCCATAGAGCAGTGTCGTTCAGGTTCTGGGGGAAAGGGAAGGGGCGAAGGGGCAAAGGGAAAAGGGAAGGGGCAAAGGGGCAAAGGGGCAAAGGGGAAAACAAACAGGAAAATTTTGTAGTAGTCCGACCAGCATTGACTCACCTGAACCAGCATCACAGCATCAATTTCCTTGACTAGTGTTGGCTCACCTTGACCAACGTTGACCAACATTGACCAGCGTTTACCCACGTTGACTCACCTTGACCCACGTCTGCACAAATCTCTCCACGGCCCAGAAGATGTTGTGTGCTCGCACGCTCACATTCCTCTGCGTGAACCAGTCTACCAGGTTGACACACCTTGACCAGCGTTGACCGGCGTTGACTCACCTTGACCCATGTTTGAACAAACTTCTCAACAGCCCAGAAGATGTTGTGACCGCGCACGCTCACGTTCCTCTGGATGAACCAATCCACCAGCGCATCTGTCACATTGTAGTCCTCTACTCCCTCCCTCCTCTCGTTGAAATACCACTTGCCCTCGTTGTTGAACACTGCCCAGTTGAATCGGTTGAGGAACCACTGGAAGGAAAGGAAGGGGGTGGAAAGGGATGGCAAGGGGTGGCCAGGGGTGGCAGGGAGTGGAAAGGGGGTTGAAAGGAGTGAACCAGTCAATCAGCGCATCCGTCACATTGTAATCCTCTGCTCCCGCCCTCCGCTCGTTGAAATACCACTTGCCCTCGTTATTGGACACCGCCCAGTTGAACTTGGTTTAGGAACCACTGGGAGGGAGCGGAAGCGGGTGGAAGTGGGTGGAAAGCGGTAGAAAGGGGTGTAAAGCGGTGAACCACTCCACCAGCGCATCAGCCACATTCTAGTCCTCCTCTTGCGCCCTGCCTCCCTCCGCTCGTTGAAGTACCTTTGGGCTTCGTTGCTGCATACTGCCCAGTTGAACCGGCTTAAGAACCACTGGAGAGGGGCGGAAGAGACAGATGGAGCCCTACTTGCCCAATCGATAGGGCGTCCCTAGGTGTGTGTGAACACCATCCCAAGGTGTGAACACCATCCCAAGGTGTGAACACCATCCGAAGGTGTGACACCAGCAGCATTCCGGTCCACTTTCTCCTGCTAGGAATGGCCTAGATGGGTGTTTCAAAGATAAAAAAAAATGCCAGCACGATCGTGGGCCTTAAATGGCAACCGAAGAACACTCATGACAAACTTAAACCACGACTCTCCCAAACGAATCAAAAAATTGGTCCAAAAAAAAAAAAAAAAAAACACATCAATCGCCCCCCTTCTTGATCGTGTTACCCCACCTGGTTGTACGCTGTAGGCTGCGGCCGTATGGAACAGCACTGCTCAAAGTCGTGTTTAAGTCGTGCTTTTCGAGTCTGACAGCACCTGGGTGGTTCACACTGTTGGAGCATCAAAGACACCTCCCCTCTCTTGGTAAGCAGGGTCATGCTTGAGGCACCTCATATTTACTTTTGAAATGCCGCAAGAGCCACTGTTGCAGTCGAGCTTAGGGTCGACTCAAAACTCAACTATTTACTTTTGGGATGCCTCAAGAGCCACTGTTGCTTGCAGCATTGAAAAGCATCACGGATCTGTGCTCATGAAGAAAGGGCAGCAGTAGGAAAGGTCACCTTTAGCAAAGGGACGATAGTGAACTAGTGAAAAAAGTAACCCTTGAAAAAGTTGATTAAGATCCGAACGTACAACTCAGTTCAAACTCTAGACGAAAGCAAGCAAGCATGTTTCGGCTTTGCACGGGGATCATACCCGCTGGGCCTTCATCAGTACCCGCTAGGCCTTCATCAGTACCCGCTGGGCCTTCATCAGTACCCGCTAGGCCTTCATCAGTACCCGCTAGGCCTTCATCAGTACCCGCTGGCCCGCTGACTTTGAACTTGAGGCACCTCAATATTTACTTTTGAGATGCCTCAAGAGCCACTGTTGCAGTCGAGCTTTGAGTCGACTCAAAACTCGACTCATGAAACGTAAACGCCAAAATGACAAGTCGAGTTTTGAGTCGACTCAAAACTCAACGTAAACGCCAAAATGACAAGTAGGGTTTAGGGTCGACTCAAAACTCGACTATTTACTTTTGAGATGCCTCAAGAGCCACTGTTGCAGCATTGAAAAGCATCTCACCTCTTTTGAGAATTCTCAAAAGTCATACCTCTTGGTACGCTGTGTCGTATAGAATTGCACCGTTCACATTGGCGCCAAAGGGGAAATCTGAAGAGACCTGGTCGATCTGCACACGTGCCGGCACCAGGCCAAGCCCCAGCCCTTGAATTGACAGCCGCACAGGCCGCATGCGGTACTGTGGCGGAGGCGGGATATTGCATTGCATGTGGTGCATGGGGGGCATAGGGGGCATGGGGAGCGTGGTGAGTCGGTCGATCTGCACGCGTGCCGGCACCAGGCTGAGCCCCAGCCCTTGGATAGACAGCCGCACAGGCCGCATGCGGTACTGTGGTGGGGGAATGGAAGGGATCATGCATAGCGGCATAATGAAAAGAAGAGCTTGGGGAGCGTGGGGAGAGAGCATGGGCAGCAGGGCATGGATGAATAGGATGAATGGGGTGCATGCATGTTTACAAGTTCTTTGCTCTGCTCATAACTGCCTGCCCTCGCCTTCTCCCCTTCGAATCCACATGCTCATATCCACTTTCAGACAATAGTCGAGTCAACTTCACGCCCTTTCTCCCTTCCACCCCGCCTTCGCTCCTTCCCCCCTTCTCACCTTCTTAATGTTCTCGTTCTGTCGGCTCCGCCACATGTTCATATCCACTTTCAGAAGCGATGCTGACGTCACCCAGATCTGGGTCCCCACCGCTGCGCCCTGCACATACACCGCCACCTCAGCGGCCGGCTTGTGCAGGGTAAATCCCCCCGTTAATTTCGTCCAGCACGTGGACCGTGCGTTCGCCCCTCCGATGCACAAATACCTGCCCGATAAAAACAGTAAAAATAGCATATAACAGATGCATAAGCTGTTGCGTGGTTCTGGGTGATTTTATTCAGTGCAGAACCATAGTGCCATTACCAAATGTCCACTCTCACCCACACTGCCGGCTCATATGCCGCTGCCGCCATGCACGCCAGTCTGCTTTAGCCCCAAATACGTGTTCAAAAAGTTGCCCAATGCTAGGTACGAGTAGGGCGTTGGCGCTGCTGTGATGCCACGCCCTTCAAGCCTACAATAAGCCGTGCTGCTGTGATGCCACGTCCTTCAAGCCTACAATAAGCCGTGCTGCTGTGATGCCACGTCCTTCAAGCCTACAATAAGCCGTGCTGCTGTGATGCCACGTCCTTCAAGCCTACAATAAGCCGTGCTGCTGTGATGCCACGTCCTTCAAGCCTACAATAAGCCGTGCTGCTGTGCCTGTGTCGCACTCACTTGTTGTTGATCTTGGCCGATGCAGTGACGTACTGCCGCTCCCCCGCGTCCAGCTTCACCCAGATCGCCAGCTCGTAAGCCGCCGCAGGCACGTCCCGCACGCTCTGCTTGGGCCCCGCATACGTGTACGAGCGGTTGTATACCACCAGGTACGAGTAGGGCGTGGGCGCTGTCGCGTTGACCATGGCTTTAATCGGCGCGTACCCAAAGCCTTGCCAGCCAGTGGTGCCGTTCGCTATGCTGGGGTTGGTGAAGAGATTTCCCTCCTGGGCGGGGGGCGTGGGCGTGTTGGAACACTGGGAGAAAGTAGAGGGGAGGAGGGGAGGGGGAGAGGGGGAGCAGCAGGTTGAGAAAAATGAACAGGGGAAGGAAAAACAGAGAGAACTCTCACACGCTCTGCTTGGGCCCCCGCATACGTGTACGAGCGGTTGAACGCCACCAGGTACAAGAAGGGCGTGGGCGCTGTTGGTTGACCACGGCTTTAATGGTGCAACCCGAAACCCTGCCAGTCCGAGGTGTCGTTCGCTATGCTGGGGTTGGTGAAGAGATTGCCCTCTTGGGAAGGGGGGCATGGTCGTGTCGGAACACTGGGAGGAGGGGAGAAGGGGACGAGAGAGTGTGAGGAGGAAGGAGAAGAAGGAGAAGTAGCCAAAATCCTGCCAGGCGGTGGAGACGAGAGGAGTTTCAACGCAGGCCAGGTTGGCGAGTTTCATACGCGTGTGATGGGAGGGTGTTGGTCCGCCATAACACGCATGCTCAAAACTGTGAATCATGATGATACAGCAAGTAGATGCATGAAAACGTCTGTGCACACTTTTCTAACTGAGGATGATATCACACTCATTCAAACGTGCAGGGACAAAATGCTGACCTGGTGGACAAAGATCACGTGAGGCAATAGAGAGAACTGTGGTGCTGATAGTACGTTCCTGCCGGAGGTGTGGGCGCGTGCAAAAGCTACAAGGGAGCTGGAGGTTGCGGAGGCGTGAATGACTAACAACCGCAACCTCCAACTCCCTTGCAGCTTTCGCATGCGCCCACGCCTCCGGCAGTACGTACCATCAACAACCAGTTCTCCCTATCACCTCACGTGATCCACCAGGTCAGCAAATCGTCCTTGTTCGTCTGAATGTGCGTGATATCATCATTAGTCAGAAAAGCATGCACAAGCGCTTTCATGCGTCTACTTGTTGTACCATCAGGACTCACGGTTTTGAGCACGTGTGTTATGGTGGACCAATACCCTCCATCACACGCGCCTGAAACTCGCCAACTTGCCCTACTCTGGTTCCGGAACACTGGGGTGAGGGGAGGACGGGAGGAGGGGACAAGAGAGTCTGAGGAGGAAGGGATTAAGGAGAGGAAGTAGCCGAACCTTGTTCCCTGCTGGAATGGAGGATGGGGTTGCCTCGTTGGGCGGGGGCCATGGGCGTGGGGGAACACTGTAGGAGGGGAGAGGGGGAGGAGGGAGGGGGAAGGGGGGGAGGGGAGGGGAGAGTGGAGGACGTAGAGAGAGTGGGTGGTGGGGAGGAGAAGGCGAAGGACGGGAGTCAAGAAAGAGGAGATGACTGTGTGCTCTTCAGTTTCTTCAGAGGCGAATGCGTGCTATAAAGCAGACGAAGAAGAACTACACACCGCCCCATGCTGCAGCTAAGAAATAACTTTCCCTCTTCTGCTAGGGAAGAGTGTGTGGGGGAACTCTAGGGAACGCAGAAGTGGCAGGATGGGAAGACGTGGCAATCAGGGAAGGGGACAGACAAGTAGAGGAGAATAGGCACAGAACAGTGCGGTGCAGTGCGGTTACGTACAAAAACGACTTTAAAGACGTCGCTGCTGCTACTCTTCTTTTTGGCTGCATTCGTCCTCGCCTGCAACGATTTCACATAGTCCAGCGAAAGCAGCCCGTCGCGCTGGCGATACTTCGCCCACTCGCGCTCGTACGGCGACGATCGTGGTAACTTGGGTAGCTTGGATTTTGCGAGGTTGATCGCCTCGCGAGCCTGCTCCCACGGAGATAGTGGTAACTTGGTTTCCGCCAGGTCGACTTGAATTGCGTGCGCTGGAGTGATTGGGGCTGATGAGCGGAGAACAGTGGGCGCGGGGAGGGGAAGTGGTTGGCGGGGATGGGAGGGGCGGGGAGAAGGGGAGGTGGGGAAGGGGGAAGGGCGGGAGGGTGAAATGCAGGGGCAGAAGGAGAAGAAGGGGAGAAACGAAGGAAGCAGTGAAGAGTACTGGTAGTGGTTGATTTCAACATGGTTCGTAGATGACAGGCCACCAGATAGCACGTGGTCGCCAGGCGTGCAGACTGCACATTCCAGCGAGATTGCCAAAGCGGGAACGCGGTTATTTCAAGGCAGTCTACTTCATAAAAGCTTTTGAAGATTCTCAAAACGGGCACTGGTTGCCTGAAGATACGCACGCCAATTGAACATATCGAAGTACATGTCAAGACGGGCTACTTATTGAGCTCGTCAAGTGAAATCGAAGGAGAGGAGGAAGTTGCGAAGGAAGAAAGTGGAAAGAGAGAGAGATTACGAACAGTCTCAGCGGAACGTGTTTCTTAGGCGCCACAAACGGGGAGAAGAACTCACATGAACGACCAGATTGGTGGCTGCAAAGCATGATCGTCGCGGTGAGGGCGATCACGGCGAACAGTCTCAGTGGAGCTCGCACGCGTGGACTTGCCATTTCTAAAGCTGAAAATCGTTTTTGCAGACCCCTGCAGGATTGATTCGCTCACTAGGGTTATCTGGACATGCCAACAGATACCTAAGACACGGACTAGCTTCCACGCAGCCTCAGATATTAGGACCAATGGACCAAAGGTGACACTATCGAGTACGATGACACCTCGCGAAGCTTCGGATATTACAACCAAAAGCTAATTGCTTCGGATTCGCGATCCGACTGAATAGCTTCCCGTCAAGCATCTACATGCTTCAAACGCGGAGTCCAACGACAAATTCAAGAACACGGAAATGCACGACCTTACTATCAGAGGATGGTTAGTAGTAAGAGACAGATGGGAGCGAGTAGACGTCCAAGTATAATCAGGCCAGGAAGAATCTGGAAGGAACATTTATCGAAGCGCGAAAAGAACGGTCAAGTGGTTGAAGTGAAAGAAGCCTTGAAGTTGTCCAAACAGTGATGTGGAGTTCCTTGTGTGCGGGAGAGCGAAAAGTGGATGTCGTGTCGACTCTACTCGACATCCCGTAATCATCCATTCCATCCGATTCCTCAGAATTCAAGAAATCGAGGGTTGAGGTTTGTTGTCACTCCCTCCCACCTGCGTAGTTGCTGGTAAGGCGAAGCAGAGTAGCAAAAGGTGAAGAGAAGTGAGAGGAGGTACCAGGAGGTGATGCGGGGTTGAGGGAAAAGGACTCTGTCTCTCCACACAATTTGCAGCCCGCACCCCATGCTGCCAACTCCCCTTCCCAGAAATTGCAACCTGATCCTTGCAACCGAATCTCAAGGTTACTAGGAGCGCGTTTCAATGTGAGCCGGTACCGTTTGGGTTGCATGGGTCATTTTCTAAATGACACTGCACTGACATTTGACACTCTCAAAGGTGAAACCTAGAATTTTCATAACGCTCGATCACGACCTCGCTTTGGTGAGAACTACACCCTGTTTCGCGCTAGCAGAGCATCTGGTTGCAGAACATGCACTGGTTGTAGAACGTCACCACGTTTGAAATGGTCTTATCACCGACGGTACAAGCACATTCACAAGAAAGCGGTTAGCTAGGATGCTGCATGGTAAAGAACATTAACCAAGCGTTTCAAAGTGGTTGAAAAGGGTATACAGCGATAAAGAAAATTTTTGCCCCCAGTACCACTCCGTCAGCTGGTGCGGCTTTGCCCGCAGGTTTCAGCCATACGGTTTATGGCACCTGACCGCACTGTAGCAGCGAATCGCGCAAGGTGAGAGGGTCGAGAAACAGGGTGTACCGAGTTCGCGTTTTGGCGGCAACCGACATTTCATCGCCAGAAAGGCGCCTTGCCGCTACAGACAGGCAGGTGCAGGTGGTTTGTGTGGTGCGGCGTGTCCCCAGGCCAGACCCGAAAGCCAACATTCCCTCTCGCAGAGTTGTGGTGCGATCAGAAGCTGGTGCGTGGCTGCTATGGCGAAACGGTGTGCGAACAAAATGCTGTACAGAGGGCAAGGTGCGAACCGCCCCGCTGAACCTGCAATTGACACTGAACCTGAAAGTCTGGAATGGACGGTTGGCTTGGCACCCAGTGCCATGATATCCAGCCGCCATTGCAGTCATGTAAGGGGAGTGCCACAAAAAAGGCATTTGGTTGAAATGCACTACACGACCGAACAAACGACATTTCGTGAACTAAAAAAAAAAAAAAGCACCACCTCCATCATCACCTTGTTTAGGGTGCGTGTCCTTGAGGTCGAACTTTTGCCAAAGTTCGAACTTCTAGAAAGGTTGTGCACGGTAGGATACATTTAAGAAACGGGTCGCCACGGTACAAAGCGGTACCAGGCTCGAACTTTGACAATCTACACCAAAAGACACGCGCCCGCCCTTAGTGTGCATCACATTAACACCTACCAAGGCTGTACACAAATATAATCTCATAAGTACGAGGTTTCTCTCCCTTTGCTAGCACCCTGGCCACATGGTAAACAACACACACAAAAAGTGTCTTGGTTTAGCACGACAAGCAAACACACGGCATGTGTGTTTCACCAATCATCAAAGAAAGAAAGAAAGAACAATGAGTTCAAGCGGAGCTAGACATACAGCAATGGCAATCATTTCCGTCAACAATGGCCGCAGCAGATGAAGTGGCTGGCGACATGGGAGACAAGGGGCACACGGGGGCAGAGAGGTATGAATGGGAAAACATCAGAGTTTGGTTGGAACTGAAACTTTGTAATGAACCTTCCAAGACTCTCCAATATTGCTACCCAACGTTATCTCCCATCCTCCTCTCTGCTTCACACCTCTCCATACATGCCCTCCTTCGTCTCCTTCCTCACTCCCTCTTCACCTCGCCCTACTCTCCCTCCTCTCCCTTCCCTTTACCCCTCACTCGCCCTTTCCTGAAATCACATCACCCTTCACCCTCCCTCACTCACCCACTGGGTCGGGCCATCCACAGGAGCAGCCTCGGGATTGTCGTGAACCTGCCACGTGACAGCAAGGGGAAGGGGTGATGATCAGAAGAGGGAAATGGATCGCATAGAGGACAGCCTCGGAATTGTTGTGAACCTGCCATGTGGCAGCAAGGGGAAGGGGTGATGATCAGCGAGGACGGGATTGTCGCGAACCTGCCACGTGGCACGACCAGAAAGGGGTGATAGGCCACACATCGGGAAGCGATGGGCGGCACAGAGGTCAGCGGTGGGT